TCAATAGCCACGTTGAGCTCGTAAAGTGAACCATGTTTCCGTTGGAAAATCTTTTGATGTCGTCGGTGTAGGAGGCTATAATGTAACCTTAACACGTTGACGACAGCGTGACGCGGTAACGCGTCCCACTTTGCGCACCTCGTGGGACATTGTGACGCGGTAACGCGTCCCACCCAAGTCATCCCTTTTTCTTGCGCTTGTGCGACTTATTCCTAAGGTCTTTGTACTCATTCTATAGGCCATACATTAGCATACTTAAAAACCACATGGCTCACAGAAAGGCCAAATATTCTTTAGTTTGGCAGAGGTTTTCCAGACCTTACGGATATGTCTGTTCAGTTCATTCCTCGTTTTCTTTTCAATAACGTAGACATGTTGATAAAAAGGAATAACAGAAGTGAATACAAACCTATTCGTATGGGAAGATATGTGTTTTTACTGAAACAACCACGTCCAAATTAATTTTGGAACCACTAAAGGGAAATTAAGTGAAATTTCCCTTTTCATGGCCTTAACACCTACGTCAGACCAATCATGGAGTACTGCTCGCCTCTCTGGTCACCATACAAGCAGTCGCTGATAGACGAACTTGAGAAAGTTCAAAAAAGCTTTCACTTATCGCTGCTTTAGACGTAGCGGAATCACTTCATTATCATATGGTGAAAGGCTGCGAAAGCTAGGAGGCGACTCACTTGAGTTTCGCCGTAAGCTTATTGATTTCGGCCTCATGTACAAACTGTTGACGGACGAGATTGATCTGAACTTAGATGACATTTTTGAGCTCTCGCCGACTATAGGGCAGTCCAGAGGACACCCTATCGAGTGCGGCCCGATAAACCCGGTACTCGCGCATACGAGGGCACTTTTCTGGTCCGAGTAGTGCCGCTCTGGAATAGGCTAGATCTCGACTTCTTCAAATGGAGACACTCACGCATGTTTCAGGTTCAGCTTTCTCGCTACCTCAAACGTGAAGTGGTTGCTTCAGGTATGAGCTGATGGTAAACAAGATATCCTGTCTCGTGTTTCAGGCACTTATGCTTGTGGTCAGAGATCCGTGCAAGTCTTGCTCAGGTATGAACAGGCCTCATGGAGCAGGGGTATCGGTCACTGCGTTTTTGCATTTGAGCTTTTCGTCCAAACTCCAATTCCATATTCCGCTGAGTGCCGCTATTCCATAACCGTTTACTGCTTCACTCACCTTTTCGACACCAACATACTTACCCCCTGCCTCCATCAGGTAGTCTCTCTAGTCGGGAAAACTGTTTACGATTTTCTTTTCAGCAGGTTATTCACATTGATAAACCAGAATACTGATGCGTAATATTTCAGCACCTACCTCGTCGCTCCTTTCCGTCCCAATCTCTAAAGATTTCCTCTCTTCTCTCTCACTGTCTTGCCCAGTCCCTGTACGATTTTTGTAACATTTAACTTTATTGTATGCACTGCTATCCTACAATATCTTGTAATGTCTTCTTTTTTCCTTCTTTATTTTTAGTATTATATGCAGCTTCCTTCAATGTATCTTTTATCTTTTAAACATTTTTTAACCTCTATATTATTCAGAAAGTCACGCTCTTCATTTAAATTTCCCCTACCCCTTTTTTTCTTCTCTCAGTCTGTAACTGTTCTGCCTACTACCTCCACTACCGCAGAGGTGGCCTTGGGTTCCTAAGGGGAGGTTGGCGGACCTACTAAGATGGTATCCGGAGCCCTGTCCCGCCCAGGGGCTTGCAGTGTATGGCCGGGCACTGCCCTTCCTCCTCCTAGCCAACCACGGACCCCTCCCCAATTCCCCCCCCCCCCCTTCATCTCATAGTTGTCATGATACTGTGTCATATATCTCTATAATCTATTTATTCTACATAATCTGTGCTCTTTTCTATTATTCTCTATTGTAATTGTAACCATTCTGTAGCCAATTATTCTTTAATCCCTGTACAATAGTTATATAAATAAATAAAAAAATAAAAACACGTCATTTCGGTCAAACTTCCATTTACGTAATCCTGATTAAAGCTAGCAGATCGAAATGCTAATCGAACAACATCCCATGATCTAACTTAAGTTTGCAGATATACAGCTTAAAACCCATGAATTTGGTGTGCGGCGGCTGCAAAAACGCTATTGTCCCAAGGGGTGCAAAAGCACAAAACGCGCGATGTCGTCAAGGTGTTAAGATAGATTAGAACGTGCTCTTCAATATTAAGTTGGGAGCAGTCGGTTAGAGTTTAGCAAAGTGTGATTAATGCTGTCTGAAATGTGGAGAGAAGTGTCTCTTTTTTGGCCACCCCTGTGATTGCCGGCCCCTTCTGAAATGTTCTGCCCAACTTGCTGGTCAAAGAAGACCAGATTCAACGTGAGGGCCACATGATGGTACCCGTGGGCGATTTTTGTTTAAATTGCCCACTAAGAAGGCAACTGATGGTGAGATCACAAAAATGGAGAATCCGGTAGTGGCGCTCCAGATACCCTCTACCTGAAAAAGCAGTGCTACCTCTAGCCTAGTGGCGCAGTACCTAAAGCACTGCGCTTTCCTCATTGGTGATTCTCCCTACTTAAACCTGAAGAGGATCTACCAATAAGGAGGACGCAAAGATTGAAGTTATTCCACACACACTTCAGCCGTGAATATGCAATCAATGCTAATAATAAGATTCTTACTTCTGTCGTCACTTCCCCAATTAAATCTTGATAAGCGCTCTAATTTGTTGACAGTCACATTATTATATTACAATTACTTGACATACGAGATTTATAGAGAAATCTCACCCTTGGCGAAGAGTAGCTCACAGGTGACATGATATTCGTTAGTTGCGTAACTTCGTTCGACGTCACTGAGGTTCTTGATTCTCGCGACTCTTTGGTAATTCGTTGCTGCTCATCCTCCGTCGAGCCTAAACATTGCACACTGTGGAAGCTGCTCGTGTTTGATCAATTCTAGGCGCCTTACCGAAGCCAAGAATCCGTACGAATTCCCGCCGGCCCTGTTTATTGCTCAAAGCTGCAAGGAATGTCCACAGAATCTGTAGATTACGGTCATCCGTTCCATGAGCTCTGAAAGAAAAGGACTTCTGAGCTAGCAGAGAAAAAGGCTTTTTTGAGTCAAAGTCAGCTGACGCCCACAAATTGAGCATAATTTGAGTGATGAAAACTGCTGTGCAAAAGCGCTGGGTCATAAGCAATGCCACTTTCGTGACCCAAAGAAGAGCGCTAGGGACTTGCACTCGCATCCAAGCATGCTTCGCATATTTATGACGTCACGCCGCAATGCATTAGTGTCTGCGTCTTCCTCTTCCCTGTGCTCTCTCTTTTCCAAGCCAGATCTCTTGCCTCATCGCTCAATGTCTCTTAGGCCGCATCATATGCCGGGATGCGAGTGGTGACCTCATGCCCTCGTCTTTATAAGTCACATACCGTAGCTAATGCAGTGATGTCTGCGTCTCCCTGGTCCCATGTGTTCTCTCGTTTCCGAGTCTACTCTCCTCCTCAACGCCTACAGTTCCTTAGGCTATTATGATTGTTCACCGCCCAGAAGAAGAAATGCCTTATATGGTGCCTAGAGCGAATTTCCACCATTTTTATTTTGCACCGGTCATCCCCACATCCTTTTGAGTAGATAAAGCCAGAAAATAGACCAAGAATGAGAATTTGCAAGTTTCGGAACACCTCCTAATAAAGTATTTGGGCAGCAGACAAAAACAAATTTCACCAACAATCATCACGAAAATAGCTACTGCGATGTTGCGAACACCTGTCCTAAACGGTAACTTGATTCTCTGAATCGACAATTATAAAACGAGACAATAAGCCAACACGACGTAAACACTCGGCTGAAGGTAGTAGTTAAAGTAATACTGCCTCTTAACACCTCACAATCATACCCTTAATGTACAAAATAGGTTGTCTACTCATTTTCAGGACGTATTAGCAACCTATAATCGCCTTTTTTTCACGACATTTTTCCTCTCATTCGATTGTTCCATAATTAGTGAATCAACTTACATTTATTGCTATAAAAATTCCAAGAAAAATCCTGAAGGTGTGGTAAATGTTTTGCTAAGTGGTACCCTTATTGTCCTACCTGAGCAATTAGTCAGCCCATTCACATACTGCCTTCCTTGGCTGAAACTTCATTTTTCTTTTCGGAATCTATTTCTGAGCTTTCTTCTTC